TAAAAATAATTGACAAGAATCGATCGTACTACAAATGCACGATTTGTGGCCGAAAGTTGTCGAGGAAACAAAGACTCGAAACTCACTTGAGTTGTGTTCATGGCAAAGGTAAGAAATAACACAAGCCAATCACAAGTTTGAATGCGATTACAGATCGTCTTTTACCCTCACATTTATAAAGGAAGGATACCACATTAGGAAGTATAAGAGATACATAGATGATCCCAGTGTACCAGTACCTAAATCTACAAAGCTTGACCGTAGCAAGCGTTCAGCAACACGTTCCAACACCGCCATCTCGATTCCTCAGTCAGTCGTTTCTACTGAACTTAAAGCAGTGGTGGCAACAGAGTAGAGTGCGTTTTACAAAGGAGAAACATTTGTACAAGAGACAGAAGTAACTATATGCGATTACAGAGGTGCGTTGGAACTCTGGTCCACAAATAGGTATGCACTGTCCGAAGTATGAACAATTTTGTTCATAGCTGGCACACAGAGAAGAACAACAAGTAAACTTTAGAGCTGTTATTATTGAAGTGTAACTTGCACTTTTCATTTGTATATAAAGAAGGACTTGTATTTTGCACCAAAAATAAAAAGATGAAAAAAGAAGCAACAACAATCATGAAAAAAGAAAGATTAATTAGGTGTTGAATTTGTTTGTCTAAGGCATGAAATTTCTACTAAAAATAATGTCAACGAAAAGTCTCTGACAGTGTTTGAGGCAACTTAGCTTGACTGTTCCAAGGTTTTCTAACAAAGGCAACCAGTAATGTAGATTAGGGAAGTAACTTATGTCTATAACTAACAAAGTTCTTTAAGTGTAGATAACAATGTAATTATTGGTACACATGTGGAAGTTGTGTACCAAGGAACAGCTAATGAATGTTTGATGATTTTGGCACATCAGTGAACATGAGACATTTTGCATCACAATAAAAATATTTATGATCATGGAATCCAAGAGTCCCTTGAGGTTAGAAAGCAAATCTGTGATATGAGTGCATTGGATAAATTGGCAATTTCCATTTAACATAATTGACTGCTGGTTCATGAGAAAATCCATATTAATGTAGAGATTTACTAAAACTTAATTCAAATAATAAATTTCATGATCTTTAAGTTATAAACAAATACATGTATGTATATCTCTTGGTAAATTTTGTATAGCATACCTTTTATTGAGCCAAAGTTTTAAGCCTCTGAAATTACTCCTTTTCTTAAAACCTTCACATTCAAGGTATTGAGAATTTCTCAGAATTTATGTGGACCACAGGGTATTTAAATTGCCTCAAATTCAATTCCCAGAAATTCCCAAGAATTCCACCCTTCTTAAATTATAGGTAGTTTGTATAGCTGAGAATTCCTAGGAATTCCCAGAAAACTGGGAATTCAGTTCGCAAGGGCCGGGTCAATTCGCCGACGGTTCAACTCGCTAACGCCAACTCGCCGACGTATAAAATCGAGTAGAAACGTCGGCGAGTTGGTCTTCAATCCAGTACAACTTATTAGAAGTTAAACATATAAAAAAGTAAAAGATCTTACGTCAAAAACTTTTTTTTTCCTTCCAACAAAGTTTGTAAGGACCTCATGGCGAATAAATCAAGGTAAACAACGCCAATGACAAAGAAAGCTTCAGACGCGACCGAGTTAATGTGTGACAACAACACCATAGAGACTCATCATGTCAATCGGTCTGATTTTTTAAAAGAAAACTTGGCTTTCTGGACACGATCTTTAGTAAAAAACCAATTCTTTTCATTTCCAACAAAATTTATAAGGATGTCAAGGCGATTAAAGCAAGGTGAACATTGCCAATGATCAAAAAAGCTTTGGACACGAACGAGTCATTGTGTGACAATAACTCGTTTGCGTTTAAAGCTTTCATAGTCATTGTAGATGTTTACCTTGCTTTATACGCAATGAGATCCCTTTAAACTTTTTTGGAAGAAAAACAAATTGTTTTTTTACCAAAGACCTTTTGCTTTTCTATATGATTAACTTCTGATAATGGTTGTATTGGATTGAAGACCCACTCGCCGACGTTTCTACTCGATTTTATGCGTCGGCGAGTTGGCGTTGGCGAGTTGAACCGTCGGCAACTTGACTGGATACCATTAATCATTGTTTCTACAAAAAGCTACTTCAATGAATAATTGTTGTTCTTCTTGTCAGTTACCTCTTATTTTAATTTGGAAAAAAAGCACCAGGCTTCTTACTGCCCTAAATACAGACCATGAGCAAACACTGAATGATAAGAAGATTGTGAAAAGCCTTTCAAGTACAAGATTTGACAGAACTCTGACAGACTGTATGCAATCTAGGAATTCAAGAAACACTTGAAAATGAAATATTCTCCACAGATTCTCCTCCAGCCAAATTTCCTTTGATCATTATACTGACACAGCTAGCCTGTCAGTCTCTGACCCTGAAGTAACCAACACTCAGTGACAACTATAATTAACAATTTATCTATTAAGTTATATGTATATTAACTTACCAGTTCTTTAAATTTCTCCAGTAATAAGGACTGGTTGTATTTTCCATCTATGCATGTTTCACTTGTGATGACAATAGTTATGTTGATCACATTTCCTCCAATGTCTGTGAAGTAGGAGAAAATCATTACTAAAAAATTTAATCAATCTTTTTATTGATACAGGTATTCCATTTGAAAACAAAAAGTCTCTGACAGTGTTTGAGGCAACTGAGCTTGACTGTTCCAAGGTTTTCTAACAAAGGCAACTAGTAATGTAGATTAGGGAAGTAACTTATGTTCATAACTAACAAAGTTCTTTAAGTGTAGATAACAATGTGATTATTAAAGTAAATGGTTTGAACCCAGGAGTATCAGTAGTTCGTGTAGTGTGATCGTCCGGGTGAGTGTAGTTCTGAAAAGAACTGTTGTTGGTGACTGACGTTTCGACTATCTGTGCGGTAGTCATCTTCAGAGTTAAGTGAAGAGTAGTTGTCAGTCGATGATGTAATAAAGTCTGGTCTGTTGAACGTGATTGGTTTGTTTAGCCGTGATGCGATTGGCTGGAAGACTCGTGTAGAGTTTGTTAACAGTCATTGGTCGGTTTCGATCCGTCTGTTGTTTGTCGGTCTGTTTGTCGGTTTGTTCACGTTAATGAGTCGTTTGTAAGGTGCTGGTAATTGTTGACATCTGTTGAGAGGCGTCTGTTCTAAGTTAGTAAACCAGCTTTCCAGAGTCAGTCGTTGAAAATAGTTTGTACTGTAGGCTAAGCATTTAGCAGAGTCCCAGTCGATTCTGTGATTAGTTTGTCGGTGATGTTCAGAAATGTGATTGTTTACATCGCCATTTCTAGTTGCTCGTTTGTGTTCAGTTAGTCGCGTGTTAAGGTTTCTACCAGTCTCACCAATGTAGGAGGCCTGGCAGTCGGAGCATTCGATCTTATAAATCGCTCCCTGTCTGTTGTTGGGTTCGTCTTTGTCTTTAACGTTGGTCAGCAAATGTCGCAAAGTAGTAATAGGCCTGTGAGCTACGCGAATGTTGTAAGGTTGTAGGATCCGCGCGATAGCCTCAGAAGTGCCTTTGATGTAGGGTATAGCAGCTGTAGTCGTGATAGATGTGGAGTCCCTGTTAGTTTCTGTAGTGTCGGTCGCCCTGTTAGTGTTTCGTCTGATGAAGTCAGTGTTGTAGTTGTTTTTGTCAAAAACACGGTCAAGGTACTTGTTTTCGTCAGATAAACTGTCCGGTGTGTTGCAAACAAGTTGCGCTCGTCTTGTCAATGTCGTGATAGTCGTAGCTTTGTGGGAAGTCGGGTTGTAGGATGATTCGTCAAGAAGTCTGTCGGTATGCGTCGGTTTTCTGTATATTGTTGTTCGTAGTTCGTTGTTGTTTCGGCCTACCAAACAGTCGAGAAAAGGAAGCTTGCCGTCTTCTTCGATCTCCCTGGTAAACTAAACGTCGGTGTTTTGTTCGTTAAGGTGATTTTGAAAAGCGTCACTACACTCACCCGGACGATCACACAACACGAACTAATGTAATTAATTTTACACGTGTGGAAGTTGTGTACTAAGGAACAGCTAATGAATGTTTGATGATTTTGGCACATCTGTGAACATGAGACATTTTGCATCACAGTTAAAATATTTATGATCATGGAATCCAATCAGTCCCTTGAGGTTAGAAAGCAAATCTAGTTAGGACTGTTCTAAGGTTATTTAACCTCAGAGACAATTGAGACATCCATTGCTTTCATTAAGTGGCTTATAACAAGAGCAACTGGGGTTTTCTGCAAAAGCTTACATGTTCCAGGGCACTGGTCAACTTGCTTGCTTGATTGCTTGTCAATTAAATGACAAATTGTGTTGTTGTCCTTTTTTTTAAGCATGAACAGGAGAAAAAGTCTAGCAAAATTTTTGAAAATATTCTTATAATGAAGCAAATCAATGTTGGGTAAAAGTCAGTATTATATTAAAGTATTACTGCAATGCTTTCTTTGCATTTTACATGTAACAAAATGATCAATATTGTGCATGTACAATTTTTAATTGTTTAAAGAAAACAGAGAGTTATCCATTATGACAAAGTATTAAGGCACTATATGGGCTTTTGCAACCTGACAGGCATAAACCCCTGGTTCAACTTTAAGAACCCAATTAAAATGTCATGTTGGTACATGTATGAAGATACAGTTGTTATATGCATGACTGCAATGTACATGTGACTTACAAACAGTGGCAGTTTTTGAATCATTTCCATATACATTGGCCACTCTGCAGGTATAGCTGGTATCATTAAGGACTTGTGAAATACGAAGAGTATTCTTGTCACAGACTTGTTCTGGGTCACATGGAGTCCAAGTGTAAGTAGGTGGAGGGTTCCCTTCTGCTTCACAGTTGAGAGTTACACCTTGTTTTACACCAACCATATACTCAGGTTGAAAATCAACAATCTTTGGTGGATCTGTACATCAAATTGGAAAATAAAAAATAAGATTAAAAAACAGCATCTACACAAAGATACATCTGAGTGACTTACCTTCAATAACTACTGTAATGGTCCAACCCTACCAGTACAGTTATATACAAGAGGATATTCTTCATCTAGTCTGATGTTTTTTTAGTTCAATTCACTTATGTGGGGTTTTTGAAAAATGTTCTCTTAATTTGTTGGTCTGGTTTCAAGTTGTCTGGATATTAACTGTGTGATCCTCTTGCCATTCATAGATGCACGTTAAATAAAATTAATCACTGGTAGTCAAAGTTTCATAGAAATCAACAATTAAACAGATAACTTTTTCAGGTTCTCACTCAGAAAACCATTGAGGTGATACTGTATTTCAAATTTTTTAGCTGAGATCTTGCCAGATATGTTGAACTGGATTGTTAAAGATTTTCACTTCAGCATTAACTGAACATATCTGCCAACACAGATAGCAGAGCATTAGAGTCTCCTAACACAACATCTAATCTTAATTTTAAGAGGAGTTTACATTTACAGGGGTGGGAGAACACCTTGCAGAACATGGCAATGCTTCAAGCTGCAACCATTTTGGTCCCCATGGTGAGTGGAAAATATATTTGGTGACTAAAAATTTCAACAAAAGTTACCAATTGGCAACCAACAGATTTAAAAAAAAAAAAAAAAAAAAAAAAGAAGGGAAAAATGTCAAAAATTTATCACTCCTTGGAAAAATTATCAATGAATTATCCTTTAGTTAATGCTTATGGCACATTTATTTCATATATTATTGTAACCATATGATAATGAAATACAACACATTTTCTTTCCATCGATGGAGCTTGGGAAAGAGCTCTAGACAATAGCTGAGTACTTAATAAATTATTTTCCAAGCATTGAAAATAAAGAAATTTGTCTTGTCATTCCTATGCATCTGTTGGTCTATGAAAGCTCTTGCTTCCATAGACAGCTTTTTCGGTCTCCCCGAACGAGGTAAATTTGCTACAGAGCCAGTAAGATGCAGCTTCTTGATTAAGCGAGTGATGCGTGAAAGGCTCACTTGTAACCCTTTGCTTTCCAAGGTTTTAAATATTCCAGCTGAATGGAAGCCCTAGTTATACAGGAGCTTGATTCGAGTTCTAGTATAGTTTGATATTTTTGGCATAATGAATACCATAGTGCTACAAGATCGATGAACGGATGAGAGAATTGTATACAAAGCATTGGTATACCATGTGTTGCCATGGTTGCGAACAATTTATGTTGCGCTTCCTTGCGCGGCATCTTGCCTACAAATCGGGAATTTCATCTGTTGTTATACTTTCCCTCTAGCATCCACAGCAAAATATCCTTCATAATTTCGGCATACTAAAACAATAGGTGCCTCAAAAGTTTGCAGTGAAATTTCCTCAAAAAGCCAGGAAAAGCCAGTAAATTAGTCGAAGTTTGTTTGCATTACTTTTGCACAATACTGTACATGTACAATCTTTTAATCATAAAGGATATAAGTTTTTTTCTAGGGGGAGCGGATTGCAACCAAAATATTTTCATCACGATCATTTTACAATTGAAGGTCACCAAAGGGAAATTTTTTGAAAAATTGAGCTTGGAGCCCTGCATGGATGTACTTAGCCAAACATCAATACAAGTAATTGACAGCACAGTACATTACAACACAGAAAATATAAGGAAAGTGCATCTCTGTTTAATATTAGTCAAAGTTTTTTTCAATGCATACTCACAAGTAACATTCACATAAACTGTTCGATTCTCTGGTTTACCAAAGCCATTGTATGCTGTACAGGTATAATCTCCTGCATCAGTCCTTTTGATGCCTGTTATAGTCAACAACTTTCCTTCTTGCACCACAACAGTATTTCCTTGGTTCCCAGGCTTCTCTTTGGTCCAAGTGATGTTTGGTTCTGGTCGACCTGAAGCTTCACAAGTTAACTGCAAGTTGTCACCTTCAAGAACAGTTGGTTCACCTCTAATCTCAGTGATATTTATTGGAACTAAGAGCAATCAAACAATCACAAGTAAATTTCAAGGATAATTGATCGAATGGCATGTACATGTATAAGCAACATGCAAAAGTGATAATACTGTTAATGTGACTCCCGTAATGGTTTTAGCAGCAAAACATCATGCCTCTTGATTTCAATCCTAGAAACATCTCCTAGTTTCAGTTGCATATAGTGATCTTTGCTATACCTCTGCATATCAAAGTAGGTTGTGAATGGGTAAAGATAAAATGGTAAGTTAAGTCCTTGACCATGAGCCAAATAGGAGGTTTGGGTGTAAGAGCAACAAGTTAAAGAAATCCCAAGAGGAATGGTGAAAAAGTCTCCCTAAAATGGAGAAGGGATTGTGGTTTAAGTCGTCTTCCTTGGTAGCATGCAGCCAGCTATCATCAAGGGGTGCTGCTGCAGTGAGTTCAAGCCACTTACAACTTGTAATCAAATTTGCTTCCCAGTGGAATTGAACCATATTCTGTCACGTGAAACTGCTAAATAAATACCGGTAGTTCCTGCAAATTATGGTTTTTCTGAGAGTCTCCTGGGCCTCGATCCCTAAGATGTTCTGGTGTATCTATTGGCATACTGTACTGTAACTTGTCATGTGGTCATTACAAGCATGATACTGAATGTGTGCAAAAATTATGAGCAAAAAAACACACCCTCAATGAGTGGCAAAAGTAAAATAAAAAATGAACCAAACCCTTGTGACTCATCACTTGTAAGTTACTAGCAACTCCTGCCTCCCCATAAAAATGTTTGTTGCTTATTTTGCAACACCAGGTAACTTTCAAGTGGGGAAGGGTTTTAAGGAAAACTTTAAAAAACAGGAGTGGGCGAAGACTTTTGTCACTCATTGTGTAATGTAGTGTTTAAGCAAGTGTGTCTTTACAATATATATTACTGGGGTATATTAAAAACTTAACAGCCTTATTAAATTAATTGACAACCAAAAAAACCATGTGAGGTTAATTTCTGATTCCACAATTGATCTACCACAATGGCCTCAGATGCAACACATATCATTAAAATTTTGATGAGCGCACTTCACAGAAAAACAGAGCAAGCACCAGGAATATAAAAAATTCCCTATACATTCTTTAAAATATACCCCTCTTGTTTGAAATCATGTAAGAGTTTTTATCAGAGCAGTAGGATTTAATCAAGGTCTTGCCACTAATTGTTTATAATCACCCTTGACACTTTTGTTATTGGTCTCATAACTATTTCCTGCCAAAGTGGTGATCTAACCATAATCACAAGCATTTTTAGCTTTATTGTTTGGTTACTCTGTTCTCGTGAAAGCACGAGGATGTTTTGGGTTCCTCTAGTGGATTATCTTTTTTTGTCATTTATCATGTGACAAAGCCTAATTTTGAGCTTTTTCTGTGCATTTTTGTTGTTTGTTCACAATGAATATTTTGCTCTTTCGCGGACCTCACATGGTTTAAGACAAACGTGGTTAAATGACTACACAAAACAGGACAGTATTACATTAAAACTACCATGGATTAAAGGTGTTATGCACAACAACGTACATTAATGGTCATTCATTATAACATCAACTCCTATAAATACATAAATTTGATGAAAGGAAAGTTGACGGATTATATATTCATTTTCGTCTTACAAGGTCTGTTTACACTTTCATTAGGTCCAAGAGACAAAGCTAGTTAATACCACAGTACAGTTATACCATAGTGAGAATTTCTTAAGGCCAGCAACATTTTTAATCTTACCTAGCACTTGCACCTGAATTGCGCGGACCCAAACATCAGCATTGGAAGTAACTAACTCACAGGTAAATGTTCCGTCAGCCTTATCGTCAGCAGCAGTCACGGGAGAGATAAACAGAGAAGCACTTTGTGGAGTGAAGCTTACACTGAACCGTTCCTTAAATTGATCGCTGACAACACCAGTTTGTCCATTTTGATAGTTGACTATTATACCAACACCATCGAATTTTAAGAAAACCAGAATTATTGAAGCTGCCGTATAATTGTAGCTCCATTTCAGTGTTGCAGGAGATCCGTCATGAAGCTTTAAAGTGATAGTGGGAAGCACTTCGTTTGGATCTGAAACTGTCGTAACCGGAGAAGGTTCAAACCATGTGACACTTCCGCCATCTGAAGCAGAATATTTTAGAACGCAGTTAAATTACATCAATTCATGCTTTCGATTTATTCAAAACAATAAAATATTTCATTCGATTTTAAATTAAAAAAAAATTATACAATTTTAAAGGTAAAACTAACAGTTGCTGTCAATATAAAAGTCATCTAAATGAAGTACATTAGGCTGATGAACCAAGTTCAGACTCGAAGGAAGAAAGTAAACACAAAACAAAACAAAATCGCAGTAAAATACATTACCTGAGAGTCGAGGTAAAAGTAAAATCCATGCTAAGATAAATTTCACGTGACAAATCATTCTAGAAATGTCTTTAATGCCCATAGATGAGTACACTGGTCTCAGCGAAAACATCATCTTTAAAAATGAACGATGATGAGGGAACAAATTCCTCTCGATAGTGTCTGGAACTAACACGAGAACCGATTGGCTATGAATGATGATAGTGTTTTAGACAGAGGTTCTGATTGGCTTTACAAAAGACCAAGAATCTTTTGAAGCCTTTCAATTTAAATAAACTAAATGACTTAATGAATTAGCGGAAATATGAATTTTTTTTAAAAACCGAAAGAGGCGAGAGGCGGAAAGATTTCCGTGTTTGAGGACTTCCTGGATTGATGTTGTCACCATTTTACTTCTGCTTTGCTTGTAAAGCCATTCTGAAGCCGTTTTAGCACAGAATTTCTGTTCATTTTCTTATTAATCACCGTCTGGAGCGCGAATAACCGAGCTTTAGTAAGATTATGGGTCTGTTGAAATTGTTGCTCAATTACTTACTTAAAATACGTATAGATTTCGCCAAGCCACCCGATTCGCTTGTACCATATTTACCTGTGTATAATACGCACTTTATTTATTTAAAAATAACCATCAAAATCGCGGTGCCTATTCTACACGGATTCTATTGTTTATCAGGCGCGTCCTA